ACGTTGTGTTCGCACAGGCTCATGTGCTTCTTCTCTGTGGACTTTGTTGTTTCTGAGCTAGATGGCTGCTTGTTTGCCTACAAGCCTTTAAGACCCCAGACGCTATATCTTTTGATAGCCGGGCACCATCAACTAAACCATAAACTCTTTTCTTGAGGAGACTTGGCTTCACTGCCAGAGATCTTGAGGAGACTCCTGGTCAGTCATCCAGAAGCAGTTTTTCACACAATGAATTTGGCTTCCACTTTAGGAAGAGAACCACCTTTTTCTATACATACTGGCATTTTTTGCTTTAATGTCTTACAGAACTAGATCTTTCAGTGTTTGGGGGAGCTTTTTAGATGGATTGTTGACCTTTTTATCTTGGTGTTGATGGTTCTGAAACTTTCCCATTCAGGTTTGATTTTTCCGTATTCTTGGTCCGAGTGTCCCATTTAGATTTAGTCCCTGGAGCCTTTCCTTTCGTTTCCTCCTCAGTCAAATCATCCTCAGCGCATCCCTTCTTACACTTTTTCAGCAGCAAGTCTGTTTGTTCGGTGGAGCCTTGTTACCTGCTTGCAGGGACAGATGCTTTGCCGATACACTAGTAAGTTTCACGTCCTCTTCCCCATCATCGTCTGACTCTGCAGGTTCCTCCCCAGCTAGTAAATGCTGTCTACAAGTACAGGCTCTGAGCCACACTTCAACCCATACGACCACTGGTGGTGTTATTTCAAAGCCCCCAGTGGACATTGTTGCTGTACAGACATTCTCAAAGTCACCAGTGTTACTTTGATTGGCCTGCCTTCATGATTCCTTGCTTCTGCTTCAGTGATAAGCCATTTATTCTTTGCTCCAGACCCTAAAACAACAGTTCTTAACGATAAGTGGTGCTCATTTGCATTATTATCCACCTTAAAGTGAGCATCTTTGTCAGCCTTTAGTTCACAACCAGAAAAGATAGTTTGGGGTCCTCAGAGGGCTCACATCCATATCCATCAGAACTTCCATGGGGTGGTGGCATGCCCTTTGGTGGGAGAAAGGGAGCATGGAGATAAACCACTACTGTCAGGAAATACATGAAGCCCTGGTGGTGTCGTGGTTAAGTGATCTGCATGGTCGGCAGTTTAAAACCAACAGCTACTCTGCCAGAGAAAGACTGGACTGTCTAATCCCTACTCCTGTCAACAACAGTAGTCTCGGAAACCCACAGGGGGTCACTGTGAATCAGTATTGACTCAATGGCAGTGAGTTAACTGAATACAGCAGCATAGGATGGATCACATCAGGGGACAAAGGTTTATTTTTCAGTCATGCTATCTGTCGTTGCTTTCTGATTAAAAAACGTTCTGAGATCAACACAAAGCTCAAA